GAATAAAAACAATAAGCCACTATGCAAAGCTACCAACAAATTTCAAATAAATGCTTACACTTAGCTATTTCATTTAACATGAACATGTATGAATGTTTTATTGTGTAGTGATAGCACTTGACCTTTTAGAGAGAGAGTAATATCATCTCTTGCTAAAGTTAACACAATTTCAGCACTGGACAGGGCCCTAATTGTATTGCACCAGATAAGATAAATTTCACAGTAGATGACTGTATGATGCACTCATGGAAATTCATGCATTGTCTTCTGTTCTCTAAATTAGTTAAGTAGGGACTTATGCTTTAAGAAGGGTCATTATTTGAGACATTAGCCTTACAGCAAACAAAAATACCACATGAGAGATAAGTGCTCTACACCTATTTTCTAGAACATGAAAAGACAGAAAAGTTTATTAAAACATTCTTTTTATATCAACAAAAGTCTTAAAAATACCAAATCATATCTTAATTTTAGTGCATAATTATAAATAAATAAAACTATATTGAGACTTTAAGAACTCTATATTTCAAAGCTGAATACAGACTGTTCTATATTAACATCTGCGAAAAATGTATAACATAATTTAAACAAATGGTTATTTGTATTTTAACTGAAATATGAACAAATAACTACTTAAATTATTAGGTTTTTTTCCTGGATGACTAAGTCAGAATNAAATATGAACAAATAACTACTTAAATTATTAGGTTTTTTTCCTGGATGACTAAGTCAGAATTCACTAATACACTTTTCTCTTAATAGGTTGCAAATATCATTGAACTGCAGAATTTTATTACTGACTCTGCCAGTAAGTAGCTTGGGGAACTTAAGGTACTTAATCTCTGTAAAATGAAGAGATAAGAACAGATTGTTACAAAGCTTTCACCCAGTCACATATTTACAGAAACTTATTATGTTTTAACTACAAAGTACTTACATGGTCTGAAACGCCTAAGACTTTAGATGTCAGAAATTTCAAAATGATTGTTCCACACCACCAAGCACTACCTTGAATTAGCTAGAAGATAAAACAGATAGAAGTCAAGTAATAAAAATTATAAATTACCCAGTTAAAATATTCAATTATACCTATAAATGACAAACGAAAGTTTTAATCATAGTGAGATATATATGGTGAGGCCTAAAAAANGCTATAAAATAGATAACACTAGGGGGCTACATATCCTAAATCTAAACAAAGTTTTAAAAAGATATATATTTTTTCAATTTCTGTTAAGAAAAAAGAGGCTTTGTTTGTTTGTTTCCAAATATTATTTCTCAGCTGAAAGTCCATTTTCCAAAAAATACTATATTAAAAGTTTTTCTACCACTCTTGTGGAAAAGTAATTATACAAGCCCCTTTTCAAGAAAGGAAAATTTGCAATTTGAGAACTTAAGCTTTCCTTTTAAAAAAATTGAAATATGAACTAAAACTGACAAGGGAGCTTCTGTTTGTCTTTATTTTTTGACTAGACTTATTAAAAAGGGAGCAAACGTGGACTTCTGGGTAGCCTGAGTAAAATTATATCAGCCTAGATCCGAATATGTCCACCCATCATCCAACAAGCATAACAATATAACCACATATACAGAAAGTAGATAACAGTACAAACTTCAAATTACCTATTAAATTTCTATTAATAGAAAAGGAAACAATGAACGTAGCAGTTATACCTCAAATTCCTGACCTAAACCTTTTCAGAGAATAAAAGAATTCATAAAACCACATACAAGAGAGAGGAAGAAAGGAAGTGGCCCAACACTGAATTAAAATGATTTGAGAAGGATAAAAGTCCACCTTAAGTGTGAAAAACAACATGGTAGACTTTGAGGGAGACAATGAGGTTCTGACCGCAACCCCAGAAATTACACCCAAGGTCACCCATTCAATCTGAGGAGCTGCAGAGTAGTCCAGTGCTGCTATAAGGGGTACAGGATCCAGGCTGGGGCACAAGTGAGCCTGCCCAGAGTTGCTCACTCCAGCAAGGGGCTGCTAAAGTGCCCTAGTGCTTAGGCCACAGAGGCACTCAAAGAAAACTCCAATGTTGAATACCATCAAAGAAATCAACAGATAATACACTACTGCACTCACGCAGAACCAAACCTAGAACACTCTACCCAACTGATATTATAAAACACATATAGAGGAAAGAGTCTCTCCCTTCAAAAGATACTCCAGAGTATCAGAAGAGACTGTTCTACCAGATGGCCAGACATCAAGATAGGGATATATGAAACATGAAAAATACAAAGAAACATGACACCCCCAAAGAAATACAATAATTTTCCATTACCAGACTCCCCCCAAAAGAAAATCTATGGAATACCTGAAAGGATTTCCAAATAATAGTCTTAAGGAAACTCAATGAGATACAAGAAAATACAGATAGACAACACACAAAAAAAAAAAAAATGAGAAAAATAATTCAGAATCTGGAGAAGAAATTCAACAAAGAGATAAATATAAAAAAGATCCAAGCAGAAATCTTTGAACTGAAGAACTCATTGAATTAAATAAAAGATACAACCAAGAGCTTAAGCAACAGGCTAGAACAAAATGTAGAAAGAATTTCTGAACTTGAAGACAAATGTTTTGAAACAACCCTGTCATAAAAAGGAAAAATAAAAATGAATTTTAAAAATGAAGAAAGACTACAGATCCATGGGACAACATTAAG